CGAGTTTTGAAAGGTCACTTTCGGAAGGTGGAGGAGGAACACATAAAGATTCCACCAGATTGAGCTTCAAAACATAACATTTCAAAAGAAATTTGATTTTTTATACTTATTATACATGTACCATGCATCCTTGAGAATTTTGTGTTTGACTTGGGGAGTTCAATGGTTTCTGACAGTTATCACTGCTAGCACTTTCCTTGTTATTGTCCAACAAGCCTAAAATTTGCAAAGATTGAATAAAAGCATCCCTCTGAATTAAATCGCACAATTGCACCATAACATCTTGCATCATTTCGCGATGCGCTACTAGCCTCTGAAGGACGCCGGCCTACAAACGTGTAATTTTACAAATTTTCTAAATGAAAAATCTACAAAAACAGTTTACAAACCACTTTGCTGGTGCCGACTTTAAAACAGAATTTAAATTCTTTCCAATCTAATTTGTCATCAAGCATTACTGAAATTTCCTCTAAACGCAAAAGAAAGAAAGGTAACTCTTCAAAAACTTGCTCTAGATTTCGTGCCACAGATCGTACTTTTTGCGACTGAGACAATTCTTTAAACGTTTCTCTGAAAAATTACTCGTTTTTATACAAATAGACCTTTTTGTACATTAATGTAAGCTTACTTTTTGTGTAATAATAGACTTATACCAAAAGTAACGTACTCGTAAACGTCTTTTATTTTATTTAATTCCCGAATATGTAAAACGTTTTTTAAGGATCTGCCCAGTAAAAGCAAATCTACTCCCGAACGTTTCTTTGGTTCATCTTGAGGCGAAATCACTTGTAATATTTGTTGTAAAGCCTTTTCAATTTCTACCACGACAGATGAAATAGTATCCAATATCACTTCAACCTAATAGGGAAAAATATAAGTTTATCGACAAAAAAATTAATAATTTTGTTTTACCTCAGGTACAATGTAAGCAGCAATTTCGTGTCGCTGGGTTGACGTCATACCGTTGAAGGTAGACTTAACAATATGTAAAAAGTTTTGTAATTGAGACATAAATATAGGTAACCGTGACTTTGCGTATTGAATGATTTCATGACGCTCTTCCTTAGACAATTCTCCTTTTCGTTTTGTAAAAAGATCACAAAGTAAGAGCAACTTCACTGCCGCTATGAAATTTAGAAATGAACATTTACTAAATTCTTCATTTTCACATTTGAAATTGTATTATAATATTTACCAACAGCTGCATCCCTTATTGACTGTTTCACCATAAAACATAATTTTGACGCGTTTGAGGTAATATTGTCAGTTGAACCATGGCATGCACTGAAATGTCCAATCATTTGATTTATGCTTTGATGCATGTCATTCACCAGGCTTATTATTTCTAGAACATGAAATGATTCTTAAGAACGACGCAAGAATTCATAAAGAGAAAACTTACGCCCTTTTAGAGCCATATTTTTCAAATACAGTTCACACATTGACACAAGTTTGCTAAGGCAAGGGTACTGTTTACTGACATCAATAACTTTTTGAATTGTTGCTTCGCTCACTGAATATGGCAAACATTCTGCATAAAAGAAATGCAATATCGTTCCCAAAACATCTTCAGGGAGTCCACTAAATGGAATTGGAACTGTATCCCAACTTAAGTCTTTTCCAAACAATTTTAATACAATGGAATGTACCTTAAACTTCCATAACATATAAAACTACATGATTATTGTTCAGGACAACATTACAAATATGATACCTCTTTTTTATTAGATGCAACTATGATCATATCAGAAAAATAACCATCTTCTAAAGCCGGCAATAAAGAGAAGGGAAACTTTGGAAAGTGATCAATAGATTCATCTGCTATTCGTTTACATTTAAGCAGTACACCCCAATTTTGACATGTAAGAGTCATTTCATCTTTAACTTCATTCCATTCACACTAGAAATCAGTTATATTATAATCACAATCGAATACTTAAAATTAGGGTACAAACACTAAATTCAATTATATGTCCTGAATATACTCCAAAACATAGTATAAGATTGTCATAACTTTTATGAACTTCAAATGTTTCACAGCTAAAAAGGGGCACTGGGTTAAGTTCTTCTGGAACAGTCCAAGTTACATCTCCAGAATCGTCTAGTTTAAATGTTACCCTGAAATGAAATAATCATGCATTTGCTTCTATACTTTTATACTTTTCTTACCCTTTTATAGAAAGACATTCGTTCTGACTTGTGCGAATTTCACTGTATTCACTTATCTAGAAACAATTAGAAAAGCAAATATATAACAATATAATTTTACACATTTTTGCAAAAAGCACAGTACCTCCCAAACTCCAATGAAAAATCCAGCCATAATTTCATATCAAAATTGGTTTGGAAAAGAAAATATTTTCATTAGCATTCAAATAAAACCACTTTTATCCATTTATTTAATAATTCTTGACAGTTAAATTGTAGGTTATAAATAAATAAATAATTATTTGTCAATGTTCAAGGTCGTAGTCAAAATTATGGCAAACATCGATTTTAACTAGTATTTTAT